AAGGGAAAAATATTTTAAGTACAATTAGTGTTGCCCAAAATCGGTCTTGGTCTTGCAATGTGCAGACCGCTTAACTGTTACAAGACCAAGACCAAGACTGGTAAATAATTACTTTTTGAATAATAATTAAGGCAAAATTGTTACTAATACTTGACAATTTTAGTTAATATATGTAAAGAATTGGAATAGCCAATATACTTTTGTATTTAACCCTTCTAATTTTTCATTCGGGCTTAGTTAGGTTTCTCTTATCTATAAAATTACAGTAATATCTCTATAGTAATAAGCTAATAGGTAACTGCAAGACAGTTGCGAGACTCTTGCCCAAGATCAATACCAACACTGAGTACGCAAGACCAAGACTGATCTTCCCATTCTACCAGAGCTTGTTGTAGTTTGGTCTTGGTGTCGGCTATTAGGACTATGTCATGTAGGCTTTGTACGAGGACAGTTCTCAAATTCCATTTTCCAATTGTTGTCCATTCAGTTCAGCGCTTGCAGATTTTGTAGATTTCATCCATTACATTTATAAATAGAAGGAGACTTTAGCTATCTCCCTATCTAACTCGTCTCGCAATTGGAAAAGGTTCCGATTCCGTACCATTTATCCTTACCCTACCGTGGCTCCTTGGCTGACTATACGGACGCCAGCAAGTCTCCAGGTACACCCTTGGCTTTTAGGGCATTCCGAATTTCTTTTCTTGGGACCTCATCAAACGCTGCCTTCAGATCAAGGAATGCAAGATACAGATCACCTTGTCGTACACCTTTACAATTTTTTATTTTTACTGTTGTACCTCCTGATTTATATTCTTCATTGAATCTCGAATACATATTTTCCAGTATCTTGAATATTCTTGAACTAATGTCCCTCTTTTTAATATATTTATAATTCAATCAGTTTTTAGAGAGTCAAATGCTTTTTCGTAATCCAGAAAAAGTAGGCCCACTGACAGATTATAGTCATTAGCTTTCTTAATTAACTCTTTAATCACAAATATGTGGTTACTACCTATAGAGGGTCTATCTTTCTCTGGCTGCCATTTTTTATTCCAGCTGCTATATGCTAGCATCAACATTCACTGATATATACTTGCAATTTTTATAATTTAGTTTGAGCCCTATGTTTTCTCCAGTCATTATTGATTGTTTTGCCATCGTAAGGATTTCGTCTTTATTTTTATATATTAGGACTTGATCACCCGCAAACTCTAAATGGTTTAGCCACTCTCCAAAAATTTTCATTCCTTTGTTCTGCCAATTCATAGTTTGCATCAAATCATGGAGAACTGTTATAAATATTTTAGGAGAAAGGATATCACCTTGCTCTACTTCTTCTTCTTCTTCTTCTTTGTCTTCCTCTTATGCCATTAGTTACAGTCGAGGAGCCTCAATGCAGCGCAACCACTCTCCCCAGTCTTTGCTTAACCGCTGCATCTCATTGAGGGTTTTGCTTCTTTTACTTCCAATGCTTTGAACATACTCTTGATACGTAATTCTGGGGTGTCCGCGTGGTCTCCTTCCTGTGGATCGAGCCTCTAATATGTTTATAGGAATCATGTTCTCGTTCATGCGGCAGGCATGTCCAAACCGCTGGAGTTGCCGTCTATCTAGAGTGGTTTTAAGTTCGGTAACTCCTAGCTGCTCTCTAATGCTTTTGTTCCTAATGCGATCCCTTCTAATTCTCACAACAGATCTACGAAGGAACCTCACTTCTGCTGCCGTTATGTGACAAGAGCGCCTGTGTACCAATGTTCAGCTTTCTCCGCCGTAAGAGAGTGTAGGTAGGTAAACAGACTTATATACATGCATTTTGGTCTTCTTGTCTACTTCGCGGTGTCCGATAACGCTATTAGTAGTCTGGTAATACACTTGATTCGCCTTACATATTCTGTTTGATATTTCGGCGTCCATCTTACCCGAGCTACTCACTACCTCAAGTGCCTCGCCGCTGCAGATCAGCTCGACATCTTCTCGTTCTTCCCTCGCCATAATAATTTTGTATTTCAGTGATGCTGGCAGACGTACATTTTTTTCATCAGGCCTGTGGATATGGCCAATTTATAATGACAAACCTTATTATGAAATATGATACTTTTTTTGTCACGAGCTTCAGAACTATAACAAATACCTAATAAAATCTTATCAAGGTATAGTTTCTATTTATTATTTATACATATAAACTTTTTCATCATTCTATAACATAATGTAGAGTACATGCAATACTCTATGTAGAGCAGAAGGTTACCGAGGGTACATCCTAGGAGAGAAAGGTAGCGGAGTTATCCAACTAAAAGTGAGAAAGTCTAATTAGAGAGCTAATTTGTAGGGGAGGGGGGCTTCATCTCATCACTGCTTGGATTAGATCCTTCCTCAGCAGCGATATTGCACTGCCTTCTTTAGCTTCCATGGGCGCTCATTTCGGAATAACCGGTTACCCGGATATTTTACCCTCGCTAATTTTTAAGAAATAACCAATTAATCGGACTAGATTAACTGATATTTAAACTGATAATATTAGGTATATTTCTATACTTTATATAATATGGTATTATAGTAAAGGGTGTATATAAAAAAATGACCGATTTTTCAACCCAACTATTTGTATTATTATTTCTTTAATATAAAATCTAATTAATATTCAAAGAATATTCCATTGTTATGTACCGTCATTAGCCATCTGCTAGCCAATTGCTCGATCCCACGCTAATACTATTCTTTGGGATGGCTGTAAAAGAACTCTTGGACCGCAATTTCAACTTCTCCAAAATTATCAAATTCTTTTCCTTGAAGAAAATGGGCCATGGATCTAAATAAGAATTAAGCCGATGGTGCGAGGTCTGGACTATATAGTGGATGAGGTGGAGTTTTTCAGGCAAGGTTTTTTCAATAAATTTTCACAAATTTCTCACCTCTTAGCTGATTGCTGAGGAGGTTCGTGAGGGGCCAGTCTACTGCTCTTTTTCAAGCAACTACTGTCATTTCTTATTGTTCATTTGTTTATCTGGTGATTAAAATCTGTTATTTAGTATTAAACATGTTAAACTTTGTACAGTCAGTCATAATGTAGTAAATAAATAAAAAATCTTTAACATTTGATAACTGTTTAATAAATGAATTTGAGATATATGTTAATATGAACTTTTTTGTTTATTTTGTGTTAGTGAACACATACCTAAAATAGTGCCGTGCAATTACGATACACCCATCTGTTGTAAATACATTCTTGTAGTGGTAGTTCACATTCTTCCAAAGTGTAGTTTCTCAACAAGTAGTTTCATGTTATTATTTTCTTGTGTTCACATTCACTGAATGTATTTTTATTTCTAATACTGTTGTAAATATCATAAATAATAAAAAAAAAAAGTCCTGCAAGACTCTATCAATAACGATAGGACCTATCTTCTATTTAAAAATGGCTTAATTTTAATTAAGTATGATGGGTTTGATCAAAATCGTTTGAACCGCTTTCGAGAAAATTGTAATAATGTGTAAAATTGACATCATAAAGAGGCACCTACAATAATAAAGAGGCAATTTCGACAAAAAGGTTGCTGTAACCTTATGTATATTACCTTAAATGCGTAATTTCAGTGTCGTACTTTTCATTTTTGAGCTCACAGACACACAGACCACTTTGTGGTATTTGGGTTATTTGTGCTCAGAGGATCCTAAAATATATATCTCCATTGAAAATTAAATATATATACTGTTCGTGTGTGAGTACTGCAAATTGCAGCAGAATACTGGCCATATTAAATCACCTGAAAGTCCCTTTTATCATTGACCTTACTAAATTTAATTACTGTTTCCTCAAATAAAATGTGTCTACTTTACGATGGTGTACTTAGAATTTCATTATCTCGAACATTTTTTTAGCAATGCCTTCTTATTCAATAAAAACCGTGACTACCTTAAAAAACAACATAAAATTGGTCTTTTTTTTCGTTCAGAATCGTTCCATAAATCAAATGAACTTTTTGGCTGGAAATTTTGTCTAGTATCACCTCCTAGAGATTGGCCATTAAGAACTGAGACACCCTGTATAGGTAACTGACAATAAAAAGTTATAAATGGAAATAATTCAATATTCACACTTTATTTATCGGGCCGCTTATTTTTTCTTTATATAAGGAAGAAAAAAAAAAAAAAAAAATATATATATATATTATATATATATATATATATATACATATATATATATATACATATATATATATTTTCCCCTCCTTCCGAAGACAATATTTCCTAGGTACGTTCCTCTACCAAATCATCGACAGCCATCGTCCTTCTTACGTCTACAACCTTCTCCAGTTCAAATCCTCAGTCCATTCCCTGTCCACAAGATCTCGACCTTCTAACCTTTACATGCCTTCTCACAGATCTGCCTCATTCCAAAATTCCTTTGTTGTTCGCTCTGTCAATCTCTGGAATTTCCTCCCTATCAAAATTCGACATTCCCCATCCATATCCAAATTCAAAACCCTCCTATTCCAATTCCTATCCCAAGAACAGTCAGATAGTTGCTAACCATTCGAGCTGATTTTAATAGAGAATTTGATACATACAAATTCATTGATTGATTCATTGATACATTTTTAATTTTAATTCTTTATTATTTTCTCAAAAGTGTATACGAGTCTATCAGTGCAAATAGCTTTAAGTGCCTTGTCATAGTATTAATTGTTTTGTATATAGTTTCGTTTTTTGTATATAGAATGTTTACCTTATATATTTTTTTACATTATTTCTTTTTTTCGATTGATTTTATTTTGGCCAGATGTGATCTTTTAATTTTGTTCTATTTTGTTATTCTCAAGGGACTGTGTCCCAGAATAAAATTATTTTTCTATCTATCTATCTATCTATATATATAGAATATATAGATCAATATCAAAAACGTACTATATCTGCATGCTAAAACATTCAACAAATGTAATATAAGCTGAAACGGCCTAAGGATTAGCATCGAATTCATAACAGCGTGTCAACAAAAACAATTAGATATCTGGTGTGAACTGTCTGAATATTTTAGTTATTTTCGAAATAGGATATTTGAGATATGTGTGTAGAGTTCGAAATGGGCAGCTGCTTGCGTACGCGGCGACCAAAGCGTGTAGTGGACTTTTCTTGGCTAATAGAGCGTGTGGTATGTTCCATTTCTTCTTCTCTGATATTATTATTTATAACTCATTTCAGTTTATATTCAATAAAAAATTATATTTTATATTCTATTCAGGAATTCATTTATATTTTTAATTTCTTCTAAGTATTATATTAATGAGAAATACTGGATTATATACGCGGGAATGAAGGAAGATTTTAGGATGAAATTCCTTCAAATTAGGAAAATAATTTTTTTTACATCTGTCCATAGGCGTAGACTACCGAGGAAACGAGGGGGGGCGACCTCTCCTCCTCCTCTTAATAAAAATGTTGAGGGGGCGAAAATTTCATCCTCATTCCCGATTAATTTGAGATAAAAAAAATTAAAATCATTAATAAGTAAGCTATCTCAATGAATAAAATGTGTAAACAACAATCGATTAAGAAAGATCGACTAGCTGACTAGATTATAGCCTACTAGTAGTTATGTAACTATTTTATTGGTACTTAAATGTTACTTTTATTTAAATTGGCATTTGTTTTCAAAGATAATAATGCATGTATCCACATATTCTAGAATCTTATACTTATATAAGTATATATAATAAGTAGAACAAAGTAAATAAATAAACTAAAATCCTTACAACAATATATGTTATAACTGCCACCATTTTCCTATTTTTTTTACATTCCTCCTCTCCCTTGAAAGTCAAATCGAAAATCTGCTCCTATGCATCTGTCCATATTTATTTCTGTGATTGATATGAGCCAAATACTTAAAAAATCACACAATATGTATTATTTTTAATTTATAACTCATATACGGAGCTACTAAATATAAAAAAAAAAATCTTAAGACTACACGATAGAAGTTAAAACATCAACAAGGAGGGATTAAGAAGGAGGGGTTCACAATTTTGTTATTTGTTCTTTTATAACAGAAAATATTTAAATATTAAGTAATATATTAACAGAAAATATTTAAAGATTTAATATAAACCAATTATGTAGTATTGGTACTTTTTTTTAAAATAAAATGTCTGTAAAGGGGCTCAGTAATTTGTCGCAACACTATCGAATATGCAATAGAAAATTGAATAGAAACTTAATTTTTTATTTTTAAGGTTAATTAAAATATATATATATATATATATATATATATATATATATATATATATATATATATATATATAGATAGATAGATAGATAGATAGATAGATAGATAGATAGGTAGATAGATAGATAGATAGATAGATAGATAGATAGATAGATAGATAGATAGATAGATAGATAGATAGATAGATAGATAGATAGATATTGACTTCAGCAAATTGGTTTCTGAATCTGCATGGTATTAAAATTTTTAAATATTTCAGTCCAAACATACAAAAAAATCATTATTTGTTTTCGTTTTTTGGCACTAGTTTTTCCCCTCTATAATACGCAGTTCCGTCAAGAAAAAAATTGGAATAATATCTAATTACAAAGACTTAATATATTAAAATACATTCACATATTAAAAATAATATTACTAAACCATTACATATTTTTTTTATAACTGGTCTCCAAGGACCGCTTAAACATCATTTTTTATAGTTTCTTTCTTTTTCTTCCTAAATAATTACTATTGCGGAAAAAAAAAATCTTTCCAAAAATAAATCCTTGATCTGCTACTGATTAGAAGTGTAATCCCCAAATAAAGCTATCGAAGATTGATTGGTTCTTATCGCACATCAGATTATAACTAGATTTGACTTTTGTACGTCAATTGTTTGTTTATTATTGTTATATTGTTAGCTATTGTTATGATCCGATTTAGTATTAGTTTATTGCAAAAAATCACAAAGTATAAAATAAACAGACCTAAAATTTTCTAGCGCGTTTGTTGAATGACACCGATTCTTTTATGTATATTACTTTACACAATGTCTTAATTTAAGAGAAAGAAAGTTCATCTAAGTATTTATGTATTTATTAAATGTATATAATTTTATGAAATGTTACTTTATGTCTTTTTACAGTAAACCGATGATATATTTTTATTTCATTTCATTATATTTATGTGTGTCATATTTATGTGTAGACACAGGCGTGTCTACGGGAGGTGGATGGGGGGGAGCTTTTGGGCTGAAGCGCCCTCCCCCCAAAAAAATGGTAAAATGTTTTATGGCAAAAAGCTATCTCTCAAAGTATTATTGTTAGTGTAATTACATTTAATAGGACTTCATGAATCACATAAACACCATTTCACGTATGTAGCTAGTATCTTTCGCCTCAGATCGTGCTTTTTCTTTCGGGTACATATGTTTATATTTTATAATTTTTGTCTCTCTGTGTACCAATATGATTATGTATGTATACATAGTTTTTTTTTTTTCCATTCAACCACAAGTAATCCTGAGATTTTATTTTATCTTAGTGTTTGCTTATTATTATATATAGCACTATAGATATTATTACATTTTGTATTAAGTTATTTTTCTGTTATTCATTTTGTAACAAATTATTATTTATAAATTGTGTAGTTATGTATATATAAATATGTAATTTCTTTTCTTTTTTTCATCACAATAATAAGTAATTTTGAGAAGATTTTATGTTCATTTATATAGATATATTTTTTTTTGCTTATTTTTTAGTGGTTACATATTACTTTTTAAATAATGTATATAATGTTAGAATTTTTATAAGTTAGTTTTTGGCAAGTCTTGTATTTTATTTTGTATTAATTCATCATTGTTATTCTAAGGGGACTTGGTCCTAGAATAAAGTTCAATTTTCAATTCTATTCTATCTTCTATTTTTTTTAGAGTAGTTATCGTTATATATATATATATATACGAAAAAAAAAGCTTTCGGGCTGAAGCTCTCCTCCCCCAAAATAAAATCCTGGATCCGCTGGTGTATACAGTGGGTCACAGTGAAATTGATACATGCCTATAGAAAAAAATGAAAAATTAGTTCAATGATTACAGTGAATAAATAAAACCGGGAACTCTTCAACAGATTTATTTATAATCTCATTTTATATATCTACAAACTCAATAAAATAAAAATAAAAATATTCAATTGTAATTATTTAAAAAAATTAATAAAAAAACTGGAGTCAAAATGATATGCCTCACTTTTAATAATAACTTTTAAATACTAGTAATTTATTTCAACATGTTGTAAGCAAGCCAGTATTGTCTATCACTCCATTCAGTCTGTTTGTAATGGAGTCGACCAATTTTTTGGTGATTCCAGGCTTATCCTGTTTCATTCTTCGAGAAGATATTTTTTAATGTCTTCTTTGCTAGTAATTTCGTGTTTTCTAATTTCTACCTCCAATTTTTCCCCTAGGTGGTGTTTTTAATAACTTTGGAGCAGTTATAATATATAATGGAGCAGTTTAGCCATTCCTTAACTAACATGCAGAGTGTTTGATTTCATTATCCTGATTAAAACTAAATTTGTTTTTTAATCAGTCCAAAGTTTCTTCTCAAAAATTCTATGTAAATATGTTTATTCACTATACCACGTGAATATTTGTGAATTTGTGAATTTGTCTTCACTTACAAGTGAAGATTTCCTACACCAAAAGCCGCCATACATCCCTACACCAAGAAACATAACATAAGAAACGATTACTTTACTCTATGATGGATGTTTATTGATTACAATAAATTATTGTTTTCAATGTAATATAAATTGAACTATTTATTTATTCAATAATTCCTATCAATATCCAGGTATATCATTTTGACTTTGAGCAACTGTATACACACACATATATATATTTTACGTCTCAAACATTTTTATGAAGTTTAAATCCAATATAAATATTATAAATTAAAAAACATACCGATGACCAAAAACCGATACCTAGTGACAGTAAAAAAAAACAAATATATTTTGACGTCTTTAATATGAAAAAACTACACGTCATCAAGTGGTGAGAATTTGTATTTTAAAGCAAGGCCACTATGAGTGAAAGAACTGTGTCATGACATCCATCATCCAATGGCAAAACAACTTTTTATTTTAAGTCATCTCGTATTTTCACTCAATGTCGTAGACCCGGGGACTTTTTCCTCAAGTTTAATCCAATTAACTAACTAAGACATTTGAATATTCCTTTATTGCCTGATCCACTGCCTTCTGGAATTCCTTGCCTTCTGATATCCGCCATACATCTTCCTTATCCTCATTCAAATATCATCTCTACCTATTTCTTTTCATATCCCAAAATTACGTTATACAATTAAATAAATATTGCGAAACAGATTTTGAATGAGGTGAATGGTTGTTAAAATTGATTGAGTTTTAATTTTAAAAATCAACCCATGCTTATATTATTTTGTTTTCTTTTCATTTAAATAATGTTTTTTTTTTCTTGTTTTTTGTCAAAATGGTGTTATTTTTACTTGTTTGAATATAATGTTTGAAGATGCTGTATATATTCTTGTTTGAAGAATTATTTACTTGTTTGAAGATACTGTATATATTCTTTAACATTGATTAATGTAATTTTTGGGCAGATGTAGTTTTATTTTTTGTTTACAACTGTTATTCATAAGGGACCACGTCCCTGAATAAAGTTTACTTTCTATCTATCTATCTAAAATTCTATGCACACCATCGTGAAATAGACAAACTTTTTTTGAGAAAACAGTGATTAAATTTACTAAGGCCAATGATGAAAGGGACTTTCAGAAGATCTATTACGGCAGCTGCACTGCTGCAGTTGCAGTATCTATAAACGAGGAGCATATCTCCATATAGTGGCCGTATTAGACCTCTTTAATTTCCTTTTTATCATTGATCTTAGATAATTTAATCATTTTTTCAAAAAACAATTGTGTCTTTTTTACGATGATATACTTAGAATTTTATTATCCTGAACAGTTTGTGAGCTAATCCTTCTTATTATATAAAACAAATTCTTATTAAAACAAACTAATATTTTTGTAGAAAAATTTAATCTATCACCCTCTAGAGTTTGGCCTTTAAGAACTTCGACGTCCAGCATATCTGATAAATAAAAGGGTTTGTGTCATTTTTTTCAAACTTTTGTGTAGATAA